TAAATAGAGCAGGGAGGAGAGAGGAGAAAAGTGAGAGAGAAACATCTATGTGAGAGAGACACATAGACTGGTCGTCACCCACACAACTTCAACCAGGGTCAGGGACAAACTGCAACCAAGGTACGTGCCCTTAGTGGGAACTGAACCCGGGACTCTCTGGTCTGCGGGCTGACACTCTAACCGCTGGGCCAAACTGGCCAGGGCTAAAACTATAACATTCTACTACTGCTTGAATAATTTCCTTTGTTCTTTGGTGAGAAAAGTGTCTGGTTGCCTCCCACACGACCCCGACTAGGGCCGGGGACCGAACTGCAACTGAGGTATGTGCCCTTGATCAAAACCAAACCTGTGACTCTAGTCCACAGGCCAATGTTCTAACCGCTGAGCCAAACCAGCCAGGGCACTGTTTGTTATTTAAATGCTCAATAAGTGTTAGCTATCATAATCAAGATTATTATTTCAGATTTTTGTTAATGGTAACTGAACCCAATTTATAATTAATACAGCAGCTATTAAAAATTATATTTATTAAAGTCCGGCCGATGTGGCTCAGTGGTTGAGCATTGACCCATGCACCAAGAGGTCATTGGTTCAAATTCTGGTCAGGACACATGCCCAGGTTGTGGGCCCAATTTCCAGTGGGGGGCATGCAGGAGACGGCCAATCAATGTTCTCTCTCATCGATGTTTCTCTCTCCCTCTCACTTCCTCTCTCTCTAAAATCAGTAAAGAAAAAAAAATTTTAATTATATTTATTAAAACTATTAATGGCCAAGAAAAATATTTTGGATAAAATTTTGGTAGGAAAAACACATTATAAAACTGTATCTACAGTATGGATCCAATTTTAACAATTATATAAATGCATAGAAATACATGTCTTAATAGTACTGTAGTTAGTTTTGAGTGGTAGGATCACAGATGATGTTTGTTTTATTTCCAAAATTTTAACAATAAAAACATTTATATCTGGAGGAAAATGTTATTTTAAGACATTCAAATGAGGCTAAGAGCCCTAGTCGGTTTAGCTCAGCAGTTAAGAGCATTGGCCTGCAGACCAAAGAGTCATGGGTTCGATTCCCAGTCAAGGGCACCAACCTGGGTTGCATGTTTGATCTCCAGCCCGGGTCGGGATCGTGTGGGAGGCAACCAATGACTTGTCTCTCTCACATCCATGTTTCTCTCCCCCCCCCCCAATCCCTTCCACTCTGTCTAAAAGTTAATGAAAAAAATAGCCTCAAATGAGGATTTAAAATAATTAATTAAGGGGACTTCCGGTCAAGACAGCAGCATAGGTAAATGCAGTATTGACCTCCTCCCACAACCACATCAAAATTACAACTAACCTGCCCTGGCTGGTTTGGCTCAGCGGTTAGAGCGTCGGCTTGTAGACCAGAGAGTCCCGGGTTTGGTTCCCGCTAGGGGCACGTACCAAAAAAAAAAACAAAAAAAAGTTTCCAGACAAGAAAAAGCTAAAGAAGTTCATTGCCACCAAACCAGATTATATGAAATGTTGAAGGGTCTCCTTGAAGGAGAAGATAAAAAAAATACGAACAATAAAACGGCAATAAATACATATCAATCAACAACTGAATCTACAAACAAACTGAGCAAGCAGAACAGAAACAGACTCTTAGATACAGAAAACTTTTTGTTGCTTGCAGATGGCAGGGAGCTTGGGGGATGGGTGAAAAAGATGAAGGAATTAAGCAGTACGAATTGGTTATTAGATTGATGAACCTCAAAGGGAAGGGCGGAGGGAGAGCGGAAAAGGATAAACCAAAGAACTTCTATGCTTGTATGCATAACCAATGGACACAAACAATAGTGTGGGGAAGGCAGGAGGGGGGGCGAGATTGGGGAGGAAGGTGTCAGTAGGGGAAAAAAGGAGGGGACATCTGTAATGCATTCAACAATAAAGATAAGTATTTTAAAAATAAAATAGCCCTGGCCGGTTTGGCTCAGCGGTTAGAGCGTTGGCCCACGGACCAATGAGTTGCAGGTTTGATTCCGGTCAAGGGCACGTGCGGCTCGTCCTGGCCGATTGGGGTTGTGAGGGAGGCGGCCACCTGATGTGTCCCTTTCATGTCGATGCCCCCCCGCCCCATCTGATCAAAAATGGAGAGAATGTCCTCGGGTGAGGATAAAAAAAATTAAATAAAGCCTATGGTCAAAAAATAAAATAATTAATTAGTTAGTTAATTAATTAAAATAAAATGTGGCTAAGATATAACAAGTGATTTTACCTTAAGCAGAATCAAGGTGCTAGAATAGATCATCTAAGGAATATGATGAACAAATATATGCATTAGCAGTGAATTCACTCGCAGAGCTAATGAGAGCCAAAGGTTAAAAGAGCTTGTACATAGGTAAATAAACTCTGTATACCCCAGAGTTTTCAACCCACAAGTAAGTAATGTGTAAAAAGAAACACTGAGTCCTCCTCAGTCAGAGGAAGAAGACATATAGTAAATGCCAGGCATGTCTTATTAAACGAATTTAAAGAGCACGCCTCTGATTGTTCACCCACAGAAACAGAGAAAGTGCCGAGCAAGAAACTCTATCCAGATGAACAGTTTGGAAACCGACAGTGTGCTCCCCTGAGATAAAGAGGAGGCCAATTTTTATAAAATACCCTCCCTGGTTCATTTTTATGCAAATGAGGAAACCAAATTTGCAGTTTTCTGGGGTTTTTTCTTTATTGATTTTACAGAGAGAGGAAGGGAGAGGAAGAGAGAGCTAGAAACATCAATGAGAGAGGACATTGATTGGCTGCCTCCTGCATGCCCCTACAACCTGGGCATGTGCCCTGACGGAGAATTGAAACTCTTGGTGCATGGGTCCATGCTCAACCACTGAGCCACACCAGTGGAGCTAAATTTGCAGTTTTATTGGTCCAAATAGCCCTGTCCTGATTAGTCAGCTTTGAGCATCCTGATTGGTGGTTATGGATTTGGTCAGTAAAGATGCAAATGAGGGTATAGTTCCATAGCTCTGATTGGATGGGGCAGGTCTCAACCCATTGGTTGAAAGAGATTCCAAGAACTCCTTTATAAGGGTCTGCTCAGAGGGCAGGAATGCAGTGGACAAGGTTTGGCAGCATAATCTGTGGCTGCTATGCCGTGTATGTGAGACCCTGTCAGCAATGGCTGCTAGACTCTGAATCTGAGCACAATTAACCATCAGGTATATTCCTTCTTGAGGTTAACACTATGCAAACCTCTGTTTATTTTTTAAAATATGTTTTTATTGATTTTTTTGTCTTTATTGATTTTAGAGAGAGAAGAAGGGAGAGGGAGAGAGAGAGAGAAACATCAATGCAAGAGAGAAACATCAATCATCTGCCTCCTGCTTGCCCCTACAGGACCTCTCAGTCTAGGGGACCACACTCAATCCTTTGAGCCACACCAGCCGGGCTAAGCAAACCTCTGTTTAAAAAAAAAAATCTATTTTAAACCCAAACATATCATATTAACGTCTCATATTACAAATCTACAATTATTTTAGTTGTTTACTTGCTTATTTTCTATGGAAACATAAGTTCCATGTTTTTCATCACTGAATTTCCAGCATCTAGCACAATGTCTGAGACATAATAGGCAATTAATAAATGTTTTAATAAATTTTGTCCAAACCTTCTTGGAAAACATAAATGTAGAAAAATAATAGCTCTGCCCTGGCCGGTTTGGCTCAGTGGTTGGAGCGTCGGCCTGCGGACCAGAGAGTCCCGGGTTTGGTTCCCGCTAGGGGCACATGCCAAAAGAAAGAAAGAAAGAAAGAAAAACAATAGCTCTGCTATAGAACAAAACAGACTATCACCATCCATGTCACATCACTTAACTGCTTTGGATGCTGATTGATACAGATTAAGCAAGACTGGTGTCCCTGCTATCTGTTTGGCGATGTGCTGCATGCCAGAGGCGTTCTGAAAGGTGGTCCATCGTCTCCAAAAGTTGAGTCTGATAGAACAGGGAATGGTTCCCTAAGTGCAGTCTGGAAGGGGTCCCAGGACCTTCTCAAAGTGGTCTCCAAAGTCAAAGCTATACTACATGATTTGCCTTTTTCTCTAACAAATGTAGAATGGAGTTTTCCAGAGGCTACATATGTGTTGAAAGGTAGTGCAATGTCTGCTTGTGTGTTGTATCAAAATTTTCATTATTTTAAATTCTAATCCAGTAAGTAACTATAACCCACATAAACAAAGCTCTTTGGGGTCTTCTCTAATTTGTCAGAGAAGTAAACCCTTTGTAAAGGAGTCCTAAAACCAAAAAGTTGGAGAACCACTGCAATACAGGAAATCGTTAGCAACAAGGAATGCATGGTAGTTGACAACTGAGACTAATATGTGAGGTTTGAGTCCCAACCAAAAGGTTGAGAATGCTTAAAATCAGGAGGGAACAGTGTGGATGGTGGAGGAAATAGCCGTGAAGGGCCTGGGCGAGGGGCAGCCTGAGCCCAGGCCCTCAGGGAGTGAGCCCTTCGCGTGCAGAAAGCATGGGAAAGACAGGCCCATCTTTCTGCAAGGACACACACATTACTCTTTCACACTTAATAGGAGATGTAAATTCCTCTCTTGCTGGTCAGTGATCTAATAAAAGCCAGGGCATTATTTGTACCACACAGGAAATCGTATGGCGGTCTCTCCGAATTATAATGTTTAAAACTCCATCCAGTTAGTAGTAACAAGTTTAGGGTAGGGGTATAAAAAAAAAAATCTGCTTCCTGACTTGGCGGAGAGGAGGGAGGGAAAGTGGTGCAAGGCAGAAAAGAGCGGGAAAATAAGGTATTAAAGAAAGAAAAAGCGGGCTTGGGAGAAGGGAGGAAGCAGTGCGAGAAGCCAATGAATGACACCCAGGCTGCTGCACGTACGCCTGCCATCCGCATGCGCATGCGCATGCCGAAAAATCTCGCGGGAAAGAACAGTTGCCAGTCCCGGCGCAGCTCCCAGGTAGGGGGTGGGGAGGTGGAGGCGGGAGTGAAGTCTCGCGATAAGAGGCGGTTGCCGTAGCGGAGCCTTCTAGCAGTGTGTGTCCGAGGATTCGCCGCTGGAGCCGCAGACGGTTTGGTGAGCCCGTTAGTGCCCCTGCCAAGACTCACGCAGCTGACATGTCCCGCTACTTGCGTCCCCCCAACACGTCTCTATTCGTAAGGAACGTGGCCGACGATACCAGGTATGTTCACGGAATGTATTCGGGTCTACGCCGGGAGGCCGCAGGCGCTGGGAGAGGACCCTTGCGGCGGCGGCGGCGCGCGGGGCCGGGGGAGGGGAGAGGAGGGTCGAAGATGGCGGGTCCCGCGCTGGCTTTCGGGCCTGAACAAGGCCGCGCCGCCGGCTCGAAGGCCGCGTGGGAGCGAGGGCGGCGCCCCTGGTGCTCCCCGGCCGCCGCTGAGTGCGCGGGCCGCGTGGCGTGGTTTTAGGCCCCCTCCCCCTCCGCAGTTCGGGGCTCCTTTCTCCTGGCTTCCTCTCGGCGCTTCCACCCCCTGCCGCCGCCAACATCCGCTCCCCATTGAATTGAAGTTCACATTCCTGGAGGTGCACGCCCCCTCGGCCCAGGGATTTTTTTTTTTTTTTTTTTTTAATTAAAAAAATTTTGCAGCGAAATAACGGAATCGGGGGAGGGGAGAGTGGCGAAGTATTTGCTACCTTTTGTTGTTGTTGTATTATATTTGTGGTTTTTAAAATGGAGACGTTTAGAGAAGGGGAATATTGAGATTTAGAACATCAAATTTTTTCAGTTAAACGGTACGAACTAGTTCTTCCCATTTCCCGGAAATACTGCTCACCTTTTGAGAACCGGGGCTTAAGAAGCCTCTACCGTGAGGACGTTGATTACTAAATTGGATTAATCCGGAACCTGCCTTTGTTCTCACAATTCCCTTAATTGCTTGGAGTTGCCGTTAGAATATTTTAAAAGAGATCTTATCACAAAATAATTCACAAATAATCACTCTCCTCCAAATCATGTTTTTGATAGCCTTGTGTAATTGACATTTTTCTGTAAGCAGTAGTGATTAATCTAGCATCTAGAAAATTTTCACCTTGGGGTCATTTGACATTTTTAAGGAGTTATATATATTTGTGACATTACCTAACAACTCTAACCTGTCGCTAAAATGTTGGGGTGAAAGTGTTTGGCATTTTTCAGAGTACTAGAGTTGACCTGAAACTATTAAAAATGAAACTATTAAAAAAACTATTAAAAACATTAGTTCTACCTATATACAACCTAATGCTTCTATGCCTTTTGTGAAAAACTAAGGATGTGGATAAACAATAGAGAAATTGTGATCAGGTACCCTTAAATAATTGCTTTGTAAAACAGTAATGGATTTTATTATAAACTCCATTTTTATCTTCCAGAATCGTTGGTCCTAGCCTTCCTTTATAAAAAATGTATTCTACCTGTATGTATCTTTTTTTGTATGTTCTTAAAATTCCTCTTAAAATGAAATTTAGAAAGTTTGTCTGTTTCAGGTCACCCAGGGACACAGTAGTCTCTCTTTTAGTTGAGATATTACAAAAAAAATACCTTTGTCTTGCAAAGAAACTCTTTTTAAGGGAGCGAACATAAAAATTTGGGGTCTTTTTATGATGTTTTAGGTCTGAAGATTTACGACGTGAATTTGGTCGTTATGGTCCTATAGTTGATGTGTATGTTCCACTTGATTTCTACACTCGCCGTCCAAGAGGATTTGCTTATGTTCAATATCCTTTCTTCAGATGGCTGATTAGTGAGGGGTGTGAAGTTTGAAATTCAAGTTTATGTAAGAGGTAACATCTAAAACGTAGTTTACTTTTGTCCTTTAATAAATGTCGTATGTCTTCAAATTTTTGAGAATTCTAACTCACACGATGCTCTATTTCTTAAAGTTAATCCAAAAATAGTAAGAGATTTAAATTCCCATTTATGCTGCTGAACCTCAAATCAATTATTATAATGTGATTTAAATTTGAATACACTCTGGTTTCTACCACCTTTAATGTAAGTCAGATTAAAAGTTAATATGTTCTTGTGCTTAGCAATTAAAGTTTGGTGTTGTTTGTTAATTTGAATCACTTGATCAAAACAAATTGTATAACAATGAGGTAAACTTATTTAATATTGTCCCCTAATTTGCTGTCCTCTGTTGTTACCTCAGAGAATGTAAAGCTGTACAGTTATGGCGACCCCAAAGAGAAAGCATGAAAGAACCTTTAGAGTAGAGTTCAACACTTAAGGCAAGTAGACAAGCCAAAGACCTCTTAAGGATCAGGCTTGAAGAGAAGGGAGAGTTTGGGAAAAGAAAAAATAAAGAAAAGCTGGAAGAAGGACAAGCCTAATGGGAGACAAAGCCTCGCTTTATCTACAAAAGGGGGAAAAAGGTTGTTTTTCAAAGTTAAAGATAAAGCCATCTGTCATATTTGGCCAAGCATCTCATGACAAGTCCTTCTGACAAGCACTTAAAGAGTTAAAGGTCAAGATGAAGTTGAATGATGGCCAAGATTAAAGGAGTCATACCTGATGTATCCTACAGAATAACTATTTTTCTTTTTTCTCTTTTTTTTTAAATGTTTTGTAAGCAGTTAATTTTCAAAATTATTCTGGTTTGGTCTAGTGACAAAACCTGTAACTTGATTTATGTGGGCCTTTGATGTTGTGATTGTGGTCTTGTATAAATGCACTTTCTTAGCTTCTCAAGTTAAAGTGTACTAGGATGTAATGTTGTTAAGCTTAAATTTAGCATATTTCTGTTTTGGACCAGGTGGTCAGATGCCATAGGGTAGCAGGCAGTGCCCTTTAAAGTAGCATACAGGTCTGTGGTCAAGCTGACTTCACAGAGCCATGCTTAAGGAGAGGCAGATGCGTGCACTGGGAACTACTTAGAAACAGTTCTGGTTGTCTTGTAGGGTCAGATCTACTAGAGAAGCTACCTGTTTATAGATAGGCTTTAGAGTGGCTGCTTGTGGGGCCCACATATCCTCCTAATTTCTGGAATTTACGTCTGTGAGGCCCGCTGGCCACGCACTACTTTAGCACGTATGATCAGTTGGCCCTGAAAGGATCAGAGAAGGCCTTATCCCCTACTATGGGTACTGTTGAAATCATTCCCTGGCCCAGAGTTTCAGGTGACCTTACTTCTTTCACTGAGATCATCTCCCTGCAACAACAAAGGACTTTAGGCTAGGGAAATTTCTTACTAAGTTCAGTGGATCTCTTGAAACTTGGGGGAGTTTTAGTGAGACTTAATGAGCAAATGCTGAAAGCTACAACTCCCACGGGGCCAGTGATCAAGCACAGTTGTGGGGATTTGTTGCAAAGCTGTGTTAAAAAGAGGACATAAGAGATATCTGGCTTGATTTCTTTTTTTTTCTTTTCTTTTTTTTTTTTAACAGTAGCAATGCATTCTGGCTTACATTGTTAACCTGACTTAACCTGGCTTTAGGGTGGCCTGTGAACCAGGATCAGCGGTAGTTTGACTCAAGTGTATGTGATACTTGAGCCAGAAAAGAGTTGTCGTCTAAAGGATTCCGAAGGAAAATTGTGTATTTTTATATAGTCTTTCCATGGTCTTAAAATGGTTTTTTGTTTTTTTAAGACCATGAGTACAAATTTCTCCGTAAGTGACGTCAGAATGATATTTGGCTGCCCCTGCTGTGGCCATTTGCCTTTTCTTAACAGGTAAAGTAGAACCTTGCCATTGTTCATCCAACCCAGGATTCTAGTTTTGAGGGTGGCCAAAAAGGATGACTGTTCTCATTAATAATTTTTACACCTCTTGATCTAAATCCTTTAAAAGATTATTACATTCTGTTTCTTGAAGTAACAAATAAATCAGTATACCCTTAAGTGAACTTACTCCTTTTAATTATTTTAGAGCCCAACTGCATGAACGTTGAGGGCTGATCTGTTACAGTATTAAACTCCCAATCAGCCTTTGTCTTGTATTGAAAGACCTATGATCTCCCTACATTAACCTACACATAATAATACCCTCAGGAAAAGGGAGCTGGGAACCCACTGTGGTCCTTAATTTCTTTCAAAAAAAAAAAAAAAGGAAATCTGGCAAGGTCAACCTTTTAGTCTCTGAAATAAAAGACTAAAAGGTTGACTAGTGACAGTCTTGAAGCGGGGTTGGGGGTGGATTTCATTTGCGGTTGTTTTTAATCAGCTCTCATGATCTTTCTGAAATTTAAGAAATAGAAAAAATGGCAAGTTCGAATAGTGACATAGAATAGAATGAAAATCCACACCCAAACCTATCCTAGTTCCCTTTCCAAAGTTTTTACGTCAAGCCCTGCTCATCAAGCCATTTCCATCAGAATGTGGTTTTAGGAAAAGAGCTAAATTTGGACAGAATAACTTTGTAAAGCCAAGAGTTTGTGTGGTATTATTGCTGACATTGAGTGGAGAGAACAAGGCAACTTAGCCTCTAAGATCAAAAATAGGGACCAAGAGCCCTGGCCAGTTTGGCTCAGCGGTTAGAGCGTCGGCCTGCGGTCCGGAGAGACCTGGGTTCGGTTCCCGCTAAGGGCACGTACTTCGGTTGCAGTTTGTCCCCGGCCCTGGTTGGTTGTGAGGGTGGCAGCCACTCGATGTGTCCCTTCACGTCAATGTTTCTCTCTCTCTCTCCCTTCCTCTCTCTCCCTCCCACTATCTGTACAAAAAAATGGAAAAATGTCCTCGGGTGAGGATAAAAAAAAAAAATAGGGACCAAGAATTCCTGCTTTATGCTGATAGATAGTAGCTTGAAATTTTTAGGGTAAACGCAGTCCAAACTCACTAATTTGTTGGATTCTGTAGTTAGTATCATTGATGTTAGGGCTTTCCTGTCCAGAAATTTTTAGAAATGGTCTGTTACTTCTAGAGAGCATGCTTGTCTGTGCATGGCTGTAATATACTTTTGGTACAGTGATGTCTTGACTATTGCTTGATTCTGTCTTGATATCCACAAGTGGCTAGTTACCAGTCTTCCCTGTGCAGTATAAGGAAGACAACTACATTGAATTATAGTGCTAGATATGTCTGAGGAAGACAGCAAAATTTAAGGTTAATGCACTCATCTCTTGTAAGTTAAGGTATATTCTGCTTGCTTACACAAGAACTATTGGCGTTTTCTTTTTTTCATTTGAAATAAAAATAGGAAAAACCATTTTGGTTTTATTTTAAGAAATTTTTGTTTTAACATACAACATAGAATTGACACTTGTTTTTCTTTTTGTCTTGTTTGGTAAAGCTAATTCTTAAAACTTGGGGAAATTTTTGATAGGATTACTTGGTAGTTCAGCTATAACATCTAATTTCAATAAAACTTGACAGTATTTAGTCACATGTGTTTTCAAACGTATGCCTTGGGAATTCACAAGTGCTTTAATACTGTGAAGTATTTATAGCTGAATCAGCCAGCTAGTAAGGGGTCTGGTAGATTTTCCAGATTAATAACGAGAGATTAATAATACTGTGAATTGTTCAAGATTTACCAATTGAACTTTCATTCATTATCAAAGTTTGCAAAACTTCCCAAGCCCCTTAACATTTAGCACATTTGAAGATGTTCGTGATGCGGAAGATGCTTTACATAATTTGGACAGAAAATGGATTTGTGGTCGCCAAATTGAAATACAGTTTGCACAGGGGGATCGGAAAAGTAAGTACCATGCATTATATTTTTAGATGTATTACAAAGTTTTGGAGTAGACAGGTAATGTGAAGATCAGAATGCCTGAATTATGTTTGGACTCTTAAAAAGTGCATGGATGCTGTGGCATATTTTAATATTCTGGGTGTGGAATTGAAAGGGATAAAATTGGGGACGTTTTGGGTCTCTTGAGCCATTTCTTCCTCATAAAAATCTTCGAGGTATAAGTGAGTGATTATGCAAGTGCGTGACTATGAATTAGACTGAAAAGGGCTATATAAACTTAGAATAGATTTTATATTAGTGGTTTTTATTAGTGTGCAGGCATATACCAGTTGTTAACTGTGCTAATAAGGCAGGAGTACAGGCTTTGATGTCCTGGGTTTGTATTCTGGCTCAATCATGTTATCTTGGGCAAGATACTAAAAGATAACAATTAAAATAGCTGCTGAAGAGAGGAAGAATACTTAGGTATACGTAAGCTATTGGTAATTCTCTAGGTCTTGGGTTGGGTGATGGGTTCCTGGGTGTTCACTTTGTCATTTATACGTACATACACATATAAAGTTCTGCTTCTTAGAATTGAATGAGATAACCTAAGAATTGAGGGCTATCCAGGGGTGTGGGTGTGTCTGAGGCATTTAATAAGTGTAGCTTTCTTATGCTTTTCTTTGTTGTGTCTCTTGAGATTGTATAACTGTATATTAGTGCGTTTTGACACACATTATTCAAAGGTCACCAACAAGTATTTTGTCATTGTTAATTGTGTTCTTAATGAATGGAAGTCATGGTGAGATGACTCCAAAATTCCATCCAGTTCAAAAGTCATTTATATTTTAATTTTGAATTTTGAAGAAATACTTTAATAGTATATTTTCTACTGTTGAAGTCATTGGCATATATTTGGACAAACCAGATGGCGAGAGGTTTTCGGGAGGGAAAAATAGTTGGGGAGATACTTGAGAGTATCATTTTTAACATAAAACAGGCTTCTGATAGACTTCCTTGAAAATAAACTTACAGTTTCCAACATTAATATTCACAGTTAACTTTGACACAGATTGGGGATATAAGGAAAAGGGGACACGGGAATTTTTCTTAATGTTTCTAAATATTTCTGTTCTGTATATTTCATAGCTCCAAATCAGATGAAAGCCAAGGAGGGGAGAAATGTGTACAGTTCTTCACGCTATGATGATTATGACAGATATAGACGTTCTAGAAGCCGAAGTTATGAAAGAAGGAGATCAAGAAGTCGCTCCTTTGATTACAACTATAGAAGATCTTATAGTCCTAGAAAGTAAGTGTGATGTAGCACAGTGATCTGTCAAGAAAAATTTGTTAGTTTTGTTTCATTTTATTTTTACTTTTTTGTGTACTTGTAATTATATACATTGTGTGCTTCATTGAGACTAAAAATATTTTAATGTTTCATTTAAAAAGTTTTATGGTTCACTTTTTTAATTAGAATTTTTTTTAAAAAAACTGTAAATAGACGTTTGTCACTGTTTGCTTTTTCTGATATACTTTTTAGCAGTAGACCGACTGGAAGACCACGGCGTAGCAGAAGCCATTCCGACAATGATAGGTAAATAACTTTGCTTTGAAAGACTTTTACGTTTTTCAATTTCAGAGTGAACTTTTGCTCTAAAAGTAATAAATTTGATTAATATAGAATCTAATTTTTACTCTAATTGTATCTCTCCTCTGTTTTGAAAGATTCAAACACCGAAATCGATCTTTTTCAAGATCTAAATCCAATTCAAGATCACGGTCCAAGTCCCAGCCCAAGAAAGAAATGAAGGCTAAATCACGTTCTAGGTCTGCATCTCACACCAAAACTAGAGGCACCTCTAAAACAGATTCCAAAACACATTATAAGTCTGGCTCAAGATATGAAAAGGAATCAAGGAAAAAAGAACCACCTAGATCCAAATCTCAGTCAAGATCACAGTCTAGGTCTAGGTCAAAATCTAGATCAAGGTCTTGGACTAGTCCCAAGTCCAGTGGCCACTGATAGTATAAACCATGATATTTTTAGGCATGTATCATTCATTTACTCATAGTTTGGTTTACTTAAATTATCAGGAATACAATGTTGCAATGATGCTTACAAAAACACTTGTCAGTTTTCCCTGTACCAGGCAATGGTTATAATTAAAATGATATGCTGTTGAGAAGCCACTCTTTTAAGAGTCCAGTTTGTTTAATGTTATGGGCAGCTACCAATTTGTGGTGTCTCTGTATATTTTTGTAAAGATTCTCATTTTTTATGCTTGAAGTATTGGTGGAAAGATGTTGGTTGACCATAATTTGCAACATTGTCTTATTAAAAAATAAACTTTCATATCCATATTTGGTAGACCTGTTAACCTAGAAATGTAGCTTGCTAATAAGATAGAATGATACAAAAGTGAAGTTGTAGCCACAGTACACTGAGTGATCAGACACATTTAGGTTCAGGGTGGACCTTTTTGTCTTGTCAAGATGTCTAGGCCCGTGATAATAGTTAATTTATGACACAGTGTGGAATAGTTCTTTTCTTAACCCCACTGTCTTAGGGAATGATGCCAACTGAGTTATGTAGCATTTCCAGGGAGACTGAGATTTTTATTGAAACATGGAGCCTTCACTGCTTTTTCCCCCCCTCTGGTTTCTGTGAAGATTTAGAACATACAAACAAATATCAGAAAAAGTCGCCTTAAAATTTGAGCAGGTCAATGATGACAGAAATAATTTTGAGGTGAAAAGAATGCTCTTATGTAGTTATTCTAAACTGTAAGGAACATTGTTGGCCATAATAGCTTAGTTTTTGCTGCTGTTAAAAGCAAGTAAATTGTTTCACAGTAAGTTTGTGTGTGTGCATAGTGTAAAAGAACTGAATTTTGATGCTTGTTAGCACTCTGTGTGTGCATTTGTATCAAAATTTGCCTACTTCTTTATGAAGGAGGCTTGTTCTTCACACCTCAGTTTATTTAATGTGAGGCAAGTTGAAAGACAACACTCCCATTCTAGGTGATTCTGTGGTGCCATGAAATTTAAAAGAATTTTAGAAAAAGAATTGACTTTAAGTACAAGTCACATCTTTGAGTCTTTGATTATCAATATAGTACCTGACTAAAAAATAAGAAAAAATTCCCTTAACCATTTATAATTTCTAGCATTTCTCTGAGAGATCGTTTTAGGGACAATAGAAGTTACTTGATGTGTCCAGTCTCATTTCAGAATAAAAGCTAGCATCTTTAAAATTTTTAGATTGCTTGCTTGCAAGTTATAAGTAAGAAATGTGGGAAAACGACTCCTTTTAGAGGATTGCTTTTTTCAATTTTGCTTTTAGTAATCTAGGCCTTGCCTGTAAAGAACAAAAGGTGGTTTTTAAATACTGTTTGTGGAATGTGTTTAAAGGGTTGATTCTAGAACCTTTGTATATTTGATAGTATTTCTAACTCTCATTTCTTTACTGTTTTGCAGTTAATGTTCATGTTCTGCTATGCAATCATTTATATGCACGTTTCTTTAATTTTTTAGATTTTCCTGGATGTATAGTTTAAACAACAAAAAGTCTATTTAAAACTGTAGCAGTAGTTTGCAGTTCTAGCAAAGAGGAAAGTTGTGGGGTTAAACTGTATTTTCTTTCTTATAGAAGCTTCTAAAAAGGTATTTTTATATGTTCTTTTTAACTAATATTGTGTACAACCTTTAAAACATCAATGTTTGGATCAAAATAAGACCCAGCTTATTTTCTGCTTGCTGTAAATTAAGCAAACATGCTATAATAAAAACAAAATGAAGGAAATAATGATTAACTGGAATTATTATAGTTTTTAATGAGATTCTAAAATAACAATGGGAACAATCCTTTGTAGATTTAGAAATAGTTTTAATCAGTGTTGGACTAGGCACAACTAACTTTTACTTTGAAAACGATAGAACTTACAAGTAGGGTACATCTTTTACATGGTACTTAAAAATTCCTTATGTAATGTCAAAGCCCCTTAGGTTAAATAACTGAGAGGTTATTGATAGTATTAAGATATATATTAAAATGAAATTTGGGTCAAGCTAATTGTAAGTTTATATTTTCATTATTGGATAGGCCAATAGTTCTGCTCTTCCCCGTCCGAAACAAGATATGTTAGGCCTTGTGTTTATGGCGTGATTTAAAATACTTTTGCATTGAATTCGGTGAGCAGTTAATAAGTGATAACTATTTTGGGGAACTGGTATAGGTATTTTGTGGTTTGAATTCTAGCTACTATATAATAACAATTACAGCTGATAGTTATTGAGTATTTATGATGTGCCAGACACTATTGTAAAAACTAGAATAGTGTTAGCTCATTTACTCTTCACAAAACCCTATTCGAAAGATACTTTTATTTTCCCCATATCACAGATTAGAAAACTGAGGCACAAAGAAAAAGCTATAAAGGACAGAACCAGGATTTGATCCCCGGCCTGGTCCTTTTGTGTTTTTGTTCTTTTAATGGACTACAATTTGAGAGAAGTAGCTTGAGATTATTCTAAGTCTCTATAGAATTAAAAGGCTTTCTATTGTATTTTTTTTATTTGTGTTACTTATTTTTAGACTCAACTATGTTATTTCTAAAGTAACATACCTAACAGAGCTTCAAAAGGACTATATGAACCCATGATAGTTAAGATCCTACTGATACCAATGAGGATCCTTACACAGTGCTTTAATTTTGAGTTACATACTTGAATTCCATAATTATTGGTTATCTACTGTGTGTCTGGCACTGTGCTTAATATATTAGAATAGAACATCAAGACTCAAGTGAGGGCTGACACTTCACCTCTCTTTTTACATTTTGTTTTAAGCCAAGTAAGCAAGAAGAAAAATGACAGATAATGCTTTAGTGAGAAAGGAAAGGTGCTACATAGTGTATGAGCTATTAAGTTAACCCTGGGAACTATTGTGCTATTCTCTTGAAAATTTGGCCCAGTAAGCTGCTACATCCAGTTCAACTAACAAAATCCTGTATACCACAGAGAAGAATAAAGAAAACCAAACTGACAAACATCCTTCTTTTATTTAAGACCAAACTGCAGCTGGAATACCCAGTACAGTTCTGCTTACTACACTTCAAGAAAGATCTGAGAAAGCGGAAAAAGAACCAAAGAAGGGCAGTTCAAGCGACCAAAGGGTGGGTGGAAGGTGCTGCAGTATGAATACTGTGTGAATATTTTGACTCTGGTCTGAAAAGATAAAAGAATGTTATTGAAACTACATGGAATAATTGAAGTCCCTTCAAGTTTGAAAGTAAGCATTTTAGGACAAATAAAAGGAAATTCAGCTTTGTACTTGTGGAAACTAATCCCTAAATCTGAATAGGTTTATATTGATTCATGGATAACAGGTCCATAATAAATTACTGGAAACTAGGATGTCTGAATATCAAGGAAGACAGCCATAGTCTCTTAACAGTGCCTCTACTGGTCTGTCAGAAACTGAATTGGGTGAGAAAAGGCATGGTCCAATATAAACTTTTTCTTGGTTGTCTCTTAAAATCAGTTACATTTTTGCTATTGGCAAATACTGCCTTTGTTTATTCCAGTGCCAGTGTTTGACTGCTTAATGGTTTGCTTGTTGGCATCTGAGTTTATTTACCTGTATGCCATGTGCAGTTTACATCCTCCTCACTCTCTCCCAGGTAAATTCCAATTATAATACTTGACATCCAGCTAAGAGGTTCCATCTCTTCTCACCTCTTTCCTAGTCAGTATATTCAGCAAACATTTACTGAGCCCTTACTGTGAGCAAAAATTGTACTGGGTAATTGGGAGGAAAAATAGATTTTAAAAATCACTTATTCAATAAATGTCTACTGAGCACAATCTAGTAAATAACATTACAGTATGGCCTCATTGTTTTGAGGTGTATTGTTTGTGACAATATTTTACACCATTCATATCCTAATGTAATTATAAAACCCAATATACTATCAAAGATAAGTAATTTTGTGGTTACCTGCCATTTAAAAGTATCTGGTATTTATTTCTGTTTGCATCCCATTAATACAAATAATGAAAAGATGATGTTTTAATCTGTAATAAACTGATTTATTGTGCAGTGACTGTAATATACTAGAATTATATTAAATTGTTAACTCTGCCTCCTCAAACACACATTAGGAAATAATCCCCCAAAAGTATTTAATTTTGCATTAGATATAAAGGACACTGGGTGCTATACTTAGATTATTTTGAGGCAGACAGAGAGCTGTTATCCCAACTGATTTAGTATGTTCTGTAACTGAGAAAATGTTCACCAAGTTATACTTTTTAGTGATTGACATGTACATTTTATAGGGACATGTTCTGTGTATAGTGAATAAATAACTTTTATAGTATCAAAATGTTTTGGATTCCTTAGTTCCTTACTAGGATATGAAGCTTATTTGCCTATATATTGATTCCATCACTCATTTTTTTGTCATATTTCTGCCACATATTTAAATTTAACAAAATTATTCTTCTGAGAATATGGAAGTGTTTGAGCCTTTCATTTGTAAAGACTTCAAAAAATATAGCAGAGTACACATAACTAAGGGAGGTATGAAATAGGGGTCATTTTTATCCTTGTTTTATTAATTTCAAACTTGGCCAAGATTACACAGCAAGTGGCAGATTAACTAGAGTCGAGTCCATGAATTTTTCATTTTAATTCATCTTAGTCACTGTTTTGCACTGAACTTTTTTTTAATCAGATAGGAAATTTTTTTATAACTTAAAATTAATATAATGGAATCTGGAGATCACTAAAAGGGAAGATTTAATAGATGTGTAAGATAGGTTTAATTACAAAAAGTATTCTGTAACTCTTTTGGATGAAAGAGGTTAAACATAACTTAAGATCTCACAGCTGTTGTGACTTACACTCTCTCCAGGCTGGTTTTTCATATTACAGTATTGTATTGCATTTTGATCATATTCCCATTTACAAAATCCTTTCCCATGAAATAAGGGAAGCTGTGACTTGAGACAGAATGGTAGCTCAGGAATAATCTAATAGTGTTCTACCAGGAAGGTTGTCAAAGCCTTTAGGAGTCCCCAGAATAAACTTCTCATTAATAAATGAAGTAAAAGCATCCTATTTGTCTTCATTCAACTGTTGGCATCTACAAGACAAACTGGTTGCTATGGAAAGGTTCTTTCTCGGGGTTTTTATCCTCTGCCCCCTCCAAAACTGTTAATGTTTAGTGCTTTACATTTATGTATCCTAACCTTTGTTTCACCCTTACATTAAAGATGGGATTATTTTTTTTGTTTGTTTGGAATAAAAAACAAGGCATGTAAATTCATTTCACTGATAATTGACAGAGTAGTTTGTTAAGTAAAAGACCTTTGTGTCTAGTTTTTTGTAGATCATATTTCTTTGAATGCTGGAAAGCGGAATAAAAAAAGAACTGGTCTAGGAGCCAAAAAAATTTTGGGTTTTTTTTTTAAAGGTTTAGCTCTGCTTTACAGATATATGGCTATTGGATAGGCTTTCTTTTGTGCAAAGTTTTAAGAGATACACTGTCCCTCTTGTTTTACAAAGTAATTGCCTGTGAGAAAGCAATTAAACACTAGATAATTTACCCAAAACCCATCAGTTTCTTTCTACCTGCGCTTGTTTTTGGGAAGAAGAGAGCTTACCAGAATTTAAGTGTAAGGATAGGTTATGGACTCAGATTCCATGATACCAGACACTGCCATCAAAAGATAAGACATTTAAATTTTAACACTGCCTTAAGGCTCACATTATGGCTGACTTCAGCCCTACAGGATAGGTTCCTGCAAGTACAATGATTTGGGAAATTCCTGTCACCTGTAAGCTAACCACAACTTGATTACCTTTCTAAGGTATGAGATGTTGATATCATTTAGATTACTTTTAGCTATTAAAATTTTTAAAGGTAAAAGCTTTTTTACTCCCACTCAATCCTTTGAACTTCTACCATTTTAATCAATCATAAACCAAAAATCCTGAACTGTTTTATTTTTTATGAAGAGAGGGAGAGAAATATCCATCAGCTGCCTCCCCAAACCAGGGATCCGGCCTGCAACCTGGGTGTGTGCTCCGACCCTGAATCCCTGCAACCTTTTGATGCACAGGATGATACACAACTGAGCCACACCAGCTAGGGCAGGACTACACTATTTTTAGTTTAAATTATTGGGGTAACATTGGTTAATAAAATTATACAGGCATACAATTTTGTAATACATCACATATTTTTATTGTTTACCACCCCATTTAGTTTAAATATATACAGATCAAAGACACCTAGGCTGAGAATTGCTCCATGTAGTTATCTGGTACAGTACAGGAAAAAATTTGGCAATCCTTTGGCATTGTTGGTAGAAACGACACCGGGGATGTAAATGGGGGGCAGAGGGGGATGGAGACAGAAATGTTAATTTCCTCCAAGAGTTATTTCCTAGTTTGTATGAAAAATATAGCCTTCCCCTGCTAGTGTAGAACTTAGATTATCAACAAATACTTCAACGTAAAACGGTTAACTTGAGGGATTCTTTTGTGCTAATTTTTTTTTCTGTAAACCTGAATCATAGAATGTAGAAAAGGGGGAGATGTAATTAAACCTGCTTTACTCAACTTGATAGCAAATGTATTCAGAAGCTTTATTCTGCAAACTTTTGCTGTTAGTCTTGATTGGCAAGGAGGGGGATGTCAAAAGTGGTTGCTTTCTTGTGTAGCTGTTGCAACCAAACCTTATTGTAATTCAGTTGGGTTAATTACGTGCGCTCTAAGAATTAGTAGGCAGTCTCGGCAATGTTTCACAGAATAAAAAACAAGGCACTGGGGAGAAAAAGTAGTTTTATTTTAATTTCATGCTTCAAATTCGTATATGCACATTAAGTACTACATAAACTTGTCTTTGGGATATAATTGAGTTGGGCAACGTCAGTTCACCTTAATTTATGTGGAGAAATACAACTTGGCCATTCTGCCTAAAAATATCAAAAAAGCTGCCAAATTAGAAAACAGGGCACTTAATCGAATTTTTAATTGATTCATCACATTTTTATTTTCTATCGGGTTAACGTTATACTTAGCATTTATTTTTAGGTAGGTAAAACATGTTATCAAGGTAATTATGTAAGAAATCACACATCTTTTGTGTAAGTGGTCCCCTGGTTGCACTTACTGGTGACCAAAAAACACTGGCATGATTATATTCATGTCATAGGTTACAAGTTGTTCAAAATCAATGTGAATTTTTAAGGTTAGATGGACCCTTTGAGTTATTAATCTTTGGGCATAAGGAATAAAAATGAAAATAGTTCCGTACTGCATTTCATATCTCTTACAAATAGGAAGTGTTTTAGCAGCTTTATAAACCTTTTCAGTTATAATTATATAAAACTTATTACACTATGATTTATTTTGAAATATAGTTTACAACCAGATCAATTATAACACATACACTGGCACTTAAGCACAGGGCAGACTTTAAAAACAAATTATTTTGGACCTTTAAAATTAGGCCATAGTGTAAAAAGTGTCCATGATCTTACATTCAGCGAATTCATACTAAAATACTCTATTTTTGTAAGATGAATGCCAAAACTTTACATATGCTACAAATTTATTACATATATTTACATGGCTCTTTCTTCCCTAAGTACTCAAAACCTTCACATTATATAGCTCCCTACTTTAAGCAAGCTTTGCAGGGATGATGAGGCCAGATCACTGTCAGAATAGTCTATGCAGTGCTATAATACAAAAATGTATTTTGAAAACTACTCTGACCACCAAATACTGTTTCTATAAAAAGTGGTTTTGGCACATTTGTTAAGAGTCACCTATCCATTACATCAAGAAATGGGGCCACTAGAAGATACTGTCTCATCCTAAATAGCTCCTAGTGCCCCTTCCACATTCACCACCATTCAGTTTACTCAACTGCAACCATTCTGTAAGGAAAATTCACATTTTCTTTTGGCAGTGCATCAGGTTGTTGGCTTATTACTGGTTTATGTGTTTCTAGGATATTAAACTTTCAAATACCCAACTAGTTCTTAATCCCTGTCTTAACTAGATGCTTATAATCATTCACTAGCTTTCAATAAGTAAATCTACTGACTTCTGAGTGATAATCTTAAATCAGTCTTTTATCCCAACAAGCAATAGAAAAAGTTGATTTCCTTTACCATTCCCTAAACCTAAACTTTGATTTCACTTGAGTTACTCAATTGAGAATACTTGATACCAAGTACAATTATCAGTAATTTAGTTATTTTAAGTGGCACTGATACTACCATTACATCACAGTGCACAGCAACACAAAACAAGATAACGTCTAATTATATTTTCTACATTAATTAGCAGTTTTACACAGAGATTAATTACTAGCATTGAGTTTGGTATGAAACAGTTGACAACTACCCTTAAATATTACTAAATTTAAACATTAGTACTTTATCTTATTTTATACCTGTACTTTAAGTAAGGTTTTAAGTTGAAATGTCATTATTTCCTTATCAGAAGGATTAAAGGAAACAGGAACCCAGTGGCTTGGTGGTTTAGGAAGAACACTTGGTGATGGTGGCTCACTAAATTTGGCTCCAGCATAGTTCTGATTAGTTTGAGACTTAAACAGTAAGCTGGGACTTGATAAGCTAGAGTTCCAATTTTGATTATTTGGAAAATTTTTGTTCTTCCCCCCATTTTGCATGGCCTGCCATGCAGCTGCTGATGTGTTGTAAGTATGTCCTCTTTCTTTTTTCTTATGAACAATCTTCATCTGGGAATTTTGATCCTTGGTCTTCTGTCTGTTAAGTTGTTGTGGGTTCTTACTAACATTTCTAGATTGAGGGGCTGGAATGTTATATCTCTCTCCACCACCCATCTTCAGCTTCTTTGTCACCTGTAAGTGAAATGAAAACAAAATACTGAGTAAAACTCAGTTAAGAAAAATTAAAAACTTTAAGCTTCTATAGCCCCAACCTGTTAACTCCAGAAATCTTGAGGAAGACTCAAAAGTGTACTATTCCTGGCAGGGTAGCTCAGTTGGTTGTAGAGCCTCGTCCAGATATGCCAAGTTTTCGGGTTCCATCCCGGGGCAGGGCACATACAAGCAGCAGCCAATGAATGCATAAATGAACGAACAACATTGTTTCTCTCTCCCTTCCTCTCTCTCTCTAAAAATCGATCACATTATATAAGAAAGTGCTATTCTGCTGGTTTAACTTCATTGTACTTTCACACTTCATTATATGCAGTTTTTATTACTTTCTAAGAAAAATTACCTTAACCCACAATCTGAAAAATCCTCTATTTAAAAATAAAAACAACTGGTTTAGGGTGAGTCCACCATAAAATGTTTGCCCCATTACAACGTGAATTTTTTTTTATACCTTTCAGTCTGCTTTTCAGATTGCAGGATTTCTGCTACCTGTCCTCTTCCTTGCTGCCAAGCCCAGGATAATAGATGTTGCTTTCTGACAGATCCTTTCCTTTGTCTCAATACAGAAGTTTTCATGGGCCAATCTGCTGAGTTCAGCCTAGGAGCTGAGGCCAACATCTGAGTCTCCTCAGCACACAAGTTTGAGAGAAGTCCTAGCTAGAAAAGTAAAGATTACTTTATTAGTTGAAACAACAAACAGGAGAAAAGGTGATCGTTTCTGTTTACTACAGAAATAGTTGGCTACTTCCTGAACTCAAAGGCAGAAGGTCTCAAGATGGCTTTCTTCGCGTTGTAACTGTCACCACCTAGGCACTCCTCCCCACCGTGCGATCCAGGGGCTCCCTCCTGGGGAGTTCTGGGCCCTTGGGTGTCCCCGAGCCCCCAGCAAGTTGTTCGTGTCTCTTTCCCGGGGGCTTTGCTGATTCTCTCACCGTTTTGTGACCACAGTGTTAAGTCAGATCAAGGAAGCACTAGCCTAAATGTACAGCCGTTACAAGAAATTGGCTTAAAACTCGTTTTTCTAGAGAGACCATGTTTTTAAAGCCCCAAGAGAATTTTTCATCGTCCGACACGTCGGTCCTCAGAGCCGTTTCGCCAACACGGCGACATCACGCAGCGTTTCCTGGTTGTGAACACTCAACTCCTCCCCGCTTCAAAGTAAGTTTCCAGACGCCCAGCCAGCTCCCCCCTTTCCCGTCCCGAGCCTCCCCGCGGGACCTTGCACTCAGGCTTCACTTGCACTTGATCCTCCAAGAACCCGGGTTATCACGAGCCCTTTCTCAAGGGGGAGCAGGGCCTTCCGGACTAACAGCCCTGAATAAACGACGAGTTCCCGGGAGGTTCGCCTCCCCGATGGGGCTGTCTCGAGCCCGGCCCGGAGCCCGGTCCTCCCGGCCGCCCGCCCCCACCGCCCCCGCATCTCGCCTCCTTCCCCCAACAATGGGGAGCGCGGCCGCCACCAAGGCCGCGCCCGCGGCGCCGCGCGACTCACCGACTTCAAGCTCGGGACTGTGGCGGCGGCTCCTGCTCGGCAACGCAGCCCCCTCCCCTTCCAGGGAGAGACAGGCACCGAACGAACAAAGCCCACGAGCACCGACGAGCTAGCTGCTCACCACCTCAGCGTCAGGACCACTTCCTCCCTCTGCCTCTACCGACAAAATGGAGGTGGCCGCGAGCGCAGGAGCGGGCCGGGAGGCACGGCGGCCAATCAAAACGCGCCGACGCGGGGCCGGCCAATGACACGAGAGCCACCGCCTGTTGCTGGGCGGCTGGGGCGACGGACGGAGGTGGTTGTTGCCGAGGGTTTGAAATCCTCCGGGAGAGGAGCATGTCGGGAACAACTGCGGCGGGCCCCCCGGTGCCAGCGGACTCCTTGGAGGCGCCCGCCCAGCTGTTCCCGGCACCCCCGGCCGCGGCGGCCTCCGCCCTCGGCCCTAGCGACCCCCACGCATCGCGGCGCCGGCGCCCCCACCAGAGGAGCCCGCTTTCAGGGCGCGCGTTCGGAGCCTGGACAGGGGCACCAGCCGCCCTCCCGGGCAGCCCTCCGACCTGGCTCCCTAAGGGCCACGACCGTTTTCCTCCCGGGGGCGGGGCGGCGGGATGACTGCGGGGCCATCTGGCTGCCAAGTTCAGGTGACTGAGCCGTGCAGCCGGTTTCACGGATGTGAGATTCTCAACCAAGTTGCCGCTTCCCGAGGCCTTTGCACCTGCCCCTTCGCCCCGCGCCCTCCCATCATTCTGCTCCTCCGCGCGGAAACTCCTTTGCAGCCCCCAAAGCTTGCGGTTCCTCCTGTCTCCACCCCTGCCTCGAAATTCCTCAGAAGCGGCCTCCCCTGTGAACGCGTTTCCACCAGGCGGGCTTAGCCCATCACTTCCTCTGGGTCCCCACCAGTCCCCACTGCCGTCGGGGCCCTTCATCTGCCCACCCGCCCTCCGGGGGCAAGGCTAGGTTTTCTTTTTCTGGGCACAGTGTCTGGCACGTTGTAAGAGCACACGTTTGTTGGGGGCTTCTGTATTGTCCTGCCTGATTTGCAAGTGAAAAGCGGGAGGAAGGATAGAGTTCAGTCGATTATGCCAGCGAGGAGCAGAGAAGGGGAAAAGGGCAACTTGTGGAGTGAGTGGGTTAGCAATCCAAAACTTCAAAAGAGAACACCGATTTCTATGAACATATGGATATTTTTGTGACTGGATTTCTGTACATGTTTATAACTTCCACATAATTCTTTTTTTGTTTTGTTTTGGGGTTTTGTTTTGTTTTGTTTTGCACTTTTATCTTGAGATAGAGCAGAAGGGCAAGAGGGAGGAAGAGAGAAACATTGATGTGAGAGACACATCAGTGGCTGCCACCCACACGACCCCAACTGGGGCCAGGGACAATCTGCAGTCGAGGTTCATTCCCTTAGTGGAACCAAACCCAGGCCTCTCTGGTCTGCAGGAGAAGGCTCTAACCTCTGAGTCAAACTGGCCAGGGCCATAATTCATTTTTCAATCTTCAGTTTTTCGCTGACATCATCCCCCACCACTATGTTCTGGCCATGGGCCTTAAAATTTTGTTTTTTGTTTTATCCTCACCTGAGGACATTTTTGCATTTATCTCAAGATAGAGCGGCAGGGAGAGAAAGGGAGTAAAAGAGAGAGAGAAAAATATCGATGTAAGAGAGACACATTGACTGGTTGCCACCTGCGCGACCCCAACCAGGGCCAGGGATGATTACCCTTGGCCGGAATTGAACCTGGGACTCCGGGACTCTTTGTTCCGCAGGCTTACGCTCTAACCGCTGAGCCAAACCAGCCAGGGCGGGCCTTAAATTTTCTTAAGAAAACTATTTAAGCGACTGCATTTCTAAAAAGGAGTTTGTTAATCAAATTAATTTGGTAAAATGTGCAGAAGAGGTATTTTTGAGCATGGGACTTTCTGATGCTATTGTAATCAGATAAGATGCGCTATACATGGTAAGTAACTGCTAGGTTACTGAACCTGTGATCTGTTTCTTAAAAATTCATAAAGCTCCCCTGGCCGGTTTTGCTCAGCGGTTAGAGCGTGGGTCCGTGGACCAATGAGTCCTCGGGTTCAGTTCCGGCTAAGGGCACATACCTCGGTTGTGGTGTGGTGCCGGGCCCTGGTCTGGGTTGTAGGGGAGGCCCCTCTCATTTCGATGTTTCTCTCTCCCTTTCTCCCTCCCACTCTATCTGAAAATAAATAGAAAAATATCCTCCCGTGAGGATTAAAAAACAATAATAATAATAAATTTTAAAAAGCAACACTTCAGCAGGTCCTGGCCCTGGTAGCTTGGTTGGTTTGGAGCATGTTCCTATATGCCAAGGTTGCAGGTTTGAGGTCAGGACACATGGAAAAGTCAACCAAGCAATGCATAAATTAGTAGAACAAATCCATGTTTCTCTCTCCCTTTCTCTCTAAAATCAATAAATAAATTTTTAAAAAATAAAAATAAAAAGACACCTCAGCTCCCAGTTGTATTATAGGTGCAGTCATCCTCCTAATCTTATCTGCATAAACACACAGGTAATGTATTGAATACTTATAAATACACACATCGTGTTTTCAATACTTTGCCACTCCCCCCCATTCCCACCCGGCTTTGTGCTGAACTGTTTTGCTTACATCATTTTATTTACTTTTCACAAATTATGGGCTAGGTGCGATTTTTATCTCCAGTGTACAGATGAAGAATCTGAGGCTCAGCCAGTTCAGAGCTGAAAGGCATCCACCAAGACCCCAGAGCCCCAGCTCTATGCTGCCTGACGCATCTGTCTTAGTCACCTCCGTGTTCTCCCCACTGCCCAAAAGGTGCTTTGCCCAGAGCAGACACTGACTGGCTGTTGACTGGGCTGCCCGGGCTGCTTGGGCAGTATGGAACCTCCATCCTGCTGTCTGGCTGAACCAGGTTCTTTGCCAGGTCAGAGTCTGGCTGCCCTCAGGAGAGCACTGTTAAAGCCGTCACCATGTCCCAGACTCCTAGCAGCCTCTCAGTATAGGTCCTGCCTCGTTCTTCATTAATATTTACCAAGTGCCAACAACAGCTCAGAACTGGAGAGCAAGAGTTAAAAATACACCCTCTTCGCCCTGGCCGGTTTGGCTCAGCGGTTAGAGCATCAGCCTGCGGTCCGGAGAGACCCGGGTTCGGTTCCCGCCAAGGGCGCGTACTTCGGTTGCAGTTTGTCCCCGGCCCTGGTTGGTCGTGCGGGTGGCAGCCACTCGATGTGTCCCTTCACATCGATGTTTCTCTCTCTCTCTCCCTTCCTCTCTCTCCCTCCCACTCTATCTGTACAAAAAATGGAAAAATATCCTCGAGTGAGGATTAAAAAAAAAAAAAAAATACACCCTCTTCAGGACATGTGATACAGCCTCTATCTGTCCCATGTGGGTCTTTAAAGTCAGTTCCACCAACACCATCCAATTAGTGGTTCTCAGCTCAAATGGGAAGGTGTTGATGCAAAGAAACAGCTCTCAGGATGTAGACCAGCCACCAACTCTGTGAGCCAGATGCATAATAAATATGCAAGTGTTTAATAACCAACATTCAGGTAACAAAAATATATTTGGTGCCTTCTTTGAGGCAGGTACTCTGCCACACCTTGGAGATACAGCAGTCAATGAGACTCCATCCCACCCCTAAAGGAACTCAAAAGCTGTTCCCTTTATAAAAATCAGAGAGGAAAGCTGGTGTCTGGGGGATTCATTTCCTCAGTTCTCCCCCCACCCTCCAAGAGTCAAGGACATGCAATGCCAGTTGTCAACACCAAAATCAACCTGCTAACATCACTAAGGAGGGCAGGTTACAGACATTGTAACAAACTGGAATGGAGAAGGGAAAGGGAGGGATTCCCATACTTGCTGAAACCCTTTCCCTGGAGAGGCTGTTTGAATTATGTACCCAAGGGAGCCAAAATCAATGAAACCTGTTACATAAACATTACCTACCTAATCTGTAGGTAGAAGTGGGACAAAAAAGTGTTTCTGAAAGTTCAGCTTTGGAGCACTAGCAGGTTACAGGCTGGTGCTTATTGTAGTTTAGATCCCACCAGCGTCAGGAAGGTGGGGCCATCACCCAGGTTTGCCAAACCTGTAGAACAAGCCTCTAGTGGGACTGACTGACTGGCTTTCAGGCTGGGTCACTTACCTCCCAGTCTGCCTATCTCAAAACAAGCTGGTTTGGTTATTTTTATTCCTCTGTATGAATTCAGAGTACAACTTTGAATGCTTGCAGTTAGAAGCAAGTTCTTAGAACCAGACAAAGAGTAAAGTGGAACACCTGCCTGGATTTCGATGTGCCTTAGGGCTCTGACCTCATTGCCAAACTGATATCAAAACACACAACCCTCCGCACACCTGAATTTGTTTCCTGGGGAAGCATCCTCTGCGTGTTCCCAGTTGCTCACACATTCCCAAGCAGTTGCACATCAGTTCTCAGCCATTACAGCCATTTCAGTCTGATTACTAAATGAGACACAGGAAGTCAATGCTAACCTCCCACGCTCCCTGTGACTCTGACCCAGAGGCTCTCAAACTCCCCGTCCTTTAAAAGATTCTGAGGCATGGACTCCCACCTCAGATCAGAATCTTTGAGGACAAGTGCTTGGGTGCTCCAATTCCAACTGAAGAGGAAAGAATATGCCACTCTAAAATATGCCACTCTGGTGTAAAGATAATTTTGAGTTAAAGGCACTTGAGAAATAGCAGGTACAAGATGGGCACTCTGACCCCCTCCTCCTCTTCCTGAAAACAGGAGAAAGAGAAAGATGTCTTCCCTGCACCAGGAGGAAAGAAACATTATCATCAAAGATGGGGGAGGGGCAGAGATTTCTGTACAAACAGACCTTGTCAACAGAACTCTTATCTTCTTCTAGCCTCCTCATGTACATATTTTAGTTATGTTGCCACAATTGTATCTCTTTGTTCAACCTTGTTTAAAAGCATTTTAGGCGTTGCCACTTCTTTGGGTTTTCATTTCCTTATGAAGCCTCCTCTGGCATTTAAAATTTACATTAAATACATTTGAATGCTTTTCGCCTGTTAATCTGTTTTATGTCCATTAAATTCTCAGGCCCAGCTAAAGACCCTAAGAGGGTAGAGATAGTTTTGTTTCCCCCGCACAGCTAATGGAGAACTACTGCCCTGAGCTTTTCTAAGGGCG